TAACAGAACAAAGATATATATGTAACAGTACAAGGATATAAAGGTAACAGTACAAGAATATAAAGGTAACAGTACAAAGATATATCGGTAACAGTACAAGGATATATAAGTAACAGTTCAAGGATATAAAGGTAACAGTACAAAGATATATATGTAACAGTACAAGGATATAAATAGGTAACAGTACAAGGATATATAGTACAAGGATATAAAGGTAACAGTACGAAGATATAAAGGGAACAGTACAAGGATATAAAGGCAACAGTACAAGGATATATAGATAACATTACAAGGATATATAGGTAACGGTACAAGGATATATATGTAACAGTACATGGATATATATGTAACAGTACAAGGATATATATGTAACAGAACAAGGATATAAAGGTAACAGTACTATAAAGGTAACAGTACAAGGATATATAGGTAACGGTACAAGGATATATATGTAACAGTACAAGGATATAAAGGTAACAGTACGAAGATATAAAGGTAACAGTACAAGGATATAAAGGCAACAGTACATGGATGTATATGTAACAGTACAATAATATATAGGTAACAGTACAAGGATATATAGGTAACAGTACAAGGATATATAGGTAACAGTACAAGGATATATAGGTAACAGTACAAAGATATAAAGGTAACAGTACGAAGATATAATGGTAACAGTACAAGGATATAAAGGTAACAGAAAAAGGATATAAAAGTAACAGTACAAGGATGTAAAGGTAACAGTACATAGATATATAGGTAACAGTACAAGGATATATATGTAACAATACAAGGATATAAAGGTAACAGTACAAGGATATATAGGTAACAGTACAAGGATACATAGGTAACTGTACAAGGATATATAGGTAACTGTACAAGGATATATAGGTAACAGTACAAGGATATAAAGGTAACAGTACAAGGATATATATCCTTGTACTGTTACCTTTATATCCTTGTATTGTTACATATATATCCTTGTACTGTTACATATATATCCTTGTTCTGTTACCTATATATCTTAGTATTGTAACCTTTATATCCTTGTTCTATTACCTATATATCCTTGTACTGTTACCTATATATCCTTGTTCTGTTACCTATATATCCTTGTACTGTTACATATGTATCCTTGTTCTGTTACCTATATATCCTTGTACTGTTACCTATATATAGGTAACAGTACAAGGATATATAGGTAATAGAACAAAGATATACAGGTAACAGTACAAGGATATATATGTAACAGTACAAGGATATATAGGTAACAGTACAAGGATATATAGGTAATAGAACAAGGATATAAAGGTTACAATACTAAGATATATAGGTAACAGTACAAGGATATATATGTAACAGTACAAGGATATATAGGTAACAGAACAAGGATATAAAGGTAACAGTACAAGGATATATAGGTAACAGAACAAGGATATAAAGGTAACGGTTCAATGATATATAGGTAACAGTACAAGGATATAAAGGTAACAGTACAAGGATATAAAGGTACCAGTACAACGCTATAAAGGTAACAGTACAAGAATATAAAGGTAACATAGGTAACGGTACAAGGATATATATGTAACAGTACAAGGATATAAAGGTAACATATAGGTAACAGTACAATGATATATAGGTAACAGTACAATGATATATAGGTAACAGTACAAGGATATAAAGGTAACAGTACAAGGATATATAGTTAACAGTACAAGGATGTATAGGTAACAGAACAAGGATATATAGGTAACAGAACAAGGATGTATATGTAACAGTACATAGATATATAGGTTACAGTACAAGGATGTATATGTAACAGTTCAAGGATGTATATGTAACAGTACATGGATATATAGATTCAGTACAAGGATATATAGGTAACAGAACAAGGATATATAGGTAACAGAACAAGGATATATAGGTAACGGTACAAGGATATATATGTAACAGTACAAGGATATATAGGTAACGGTACAAGGATATATATGTAACAGTACAAGGATATAAAGGTAACAGTACAAGAATATAAAGGTAACAGTACAAAGATATTTATGTAACAGAACAAGGATATATAGGTAACAGTACAAGGATGTATAGGTAACAGAACAAGGATGTATAGGTAACAGAACAAGGATATAAAGGTAACAGTACAATGATGTATATGTAACAGTACAAGGATATATAGATTCAGTACAAGGATATATAGGTAACAGAACAAGGATATATAGGTAACAGCACAAGGATGTATATGTAACAGTACAAGGATATATAGGTAACAGTACAAGGATGTATAGGTAACAGAACAAGGATATATAGGTAACAGAACAAGGATATATAGGTAACAGTACAAGGATATATAGGTAACAGTACAAGGATATATAGGTAACAGTACAAGGATATATAGGTAACAGTACAAGGATGTATAGGTAACAGTACAAGGATGTATAGGTAACAGAACAAGGATATATAGGTAACAGTACTAGGATATATAGGTAACAGTACATGGATATATAGGTAACAGAACAAGGATGTATATGTAACAGTACAAGGATATAAAGGTAACAGTACAAGGATATAAAGATAGGTAACAGTACAAAGATATATGTAACAGTACAAGGATGTATAGGTAACAGTACAAGGACATATAGGTAACAGTACAAGGATATAAAGATAGGTAACAGTACAAAGATATATATCTAACAGTACAAGGATATAAAGATAGGTAACAGTACAAAGATATATGTAACAGTACAAGGATGTATATGTAACAGTATAAGGATATAAAGGTAACAGTAAAAGGATATATAGGTAACAGTACAAGGATATAAAGGCAACAGAACAAGGATATATAGGTAACAGTACTAGGATATATAGGTAACAGTACATGGATATAAAGGTAACAGAACAAGAATGTATATGTAACAGTACTAGGATATATAGGTAACAGTACATGGATATATAGGTAACAGAACAAGGATATATAGGTAACAGAACAAGGATATATAGGGGATATATAGGTAACTGTACAAGGATATATAGGTAACAGTACAAGGATATATAGGTAACAGTACAAGGTTATAAAGGTAACGCTCCATAGATATAAAGGTAACAGTACAAGGATATAAAGGTAACAGTACAAGGATATATATGTAACAGTACAAGAATATAAAGGTAACAGTACAAGGATGTAAAGGTAACAGTACAAGGATATAAAGGTAACAGTACACGGATATTTAAGGTAACAGTGCATGGTTATAAAGGTAACAGTACAAGGATATATAGGTAACAGTACAAGGTTATAAAGGTAACGTTCCATAGATATAAAGGTAACAGTACAAGGATATAAAGGTAACAGTACAAGGATATATATGTAACAGTACAATGATATATAAGTAACAGAACAATGATATAAAGGTAACAGTACAAGGATATATAGGTAACAGAACAAGGATATATAGGTAACAGTAGAAGGATATAAAGGTAACAGTACAAGAATATATAGGTAACAGTACAAGGATATAAAGGTATCAGTACAAGGATATATATGTAACAGTACAAGGATATAAAGGTAACAGTAGTACAAGGATATATAGGTAACAGTACATGGATATATAGGTAACAGTACAATGATATAAAGGTAACGGTACATAGATATATAGGTAACAGTACAAGGATATATAGGTAACAGTACAAGAAGCTAATAATACAAGTTGAAGATAAGAGACACTTTCTAATGAAATTTCCTTTGTATAACGATATTTGGATTAAACTCTTGACTAGCACATGATAAGATACCAAACCAGGGATGTGTACTACACATCCCTGACCAAACTAATAAGATACGGTCATGGAAACAAATTTCAATAATAAATAGTATGTGATGTAATGCAACTCAAAGGAAGGACTGTAGTATGTACTCTCTACAAAAGCATGTCAAGAAGGAAGTGTTTGGATAGCTGGTTTGAATTGACAAACGTTAGATATGCTTCAATATGCATAACTACTTTTATCAGTCTTATCAACTATGTGTATTTGTAATGAACTGGAAAAAATACTATAGCCTTTTTTATAACACCAACATAAGATGACATTATGTAATTTACGTATATGTTGTACATCATTTTAGTAAAGTGTTACATAAGTCTTTTATGTAGGCTGGCTGGGCATTCAATGTTTTATTTCTGATGTTTTATATGTTGTGATTTTACTGAGCGTGTGACACTATAATGAAAAAAAAACATTTATCTTACATTATCTTATTTGTGTAACACTTCCGACTTTGAGCAAGTCAAAGAATATTTCTAGAGAAAGATGATAGGAATTACTCAAAAATACATACTTTACAGTATTGTTTATAAGGTTATAGATACTTCAGGTGATCATATTTTGTAAAACAAGTTCCTGGCGAATTAAAATAACAACACAAAAAGCTCACCATCCATCATCGAAATCATAATGAGGTATTGCTGGATCCGCCTGAGCTTCGATAGGCTGTCTATCACCAGTAAATGTCCGTTATAGTCTCCAGTACAGGTTGCCATGGCAGCATTGTGACTGAGGGATTGTGGGTAGAACCGTATACACAAACCTATGTCACGTAGGTCGCTGTACCCTATCTTCTCACACAGGTCTGGCAAAATAATCACAATCATTTTAACAATTAACTGTAATTGATAAATTATTAACATTTCTTTTCTTTTCATTTCTTTAAATCAATTTAATGAGTACCAAACATGTATGAGATTTTATGATGAATTGTATGTCAGACAGACATCTAACAGATTAACTCCATACTTTAAAACTTTTACATGGTCTCGAAAACCAAAACAAAATAAAGAAAAAACCCAAGACAGTCATATAGGAAATCATATATTTATTTTTTATCAAACTTTGTGATAATCATCAGCCCGAGAGGTGGGGCCGTATCAGAGGTCAACTTGGTGGTAATCATCAGCCCGAGAGGTGGGGCCGTATCAGAGGTCAACTTGGTGGTAATCATCAGCCCGAGAGGTGGGGCCGTATCAGAGGTCAACTTGGTGGTAATCATCAGCCCGAGAGGTGGGGCCGTATCAGAGGTCAACTTGGTGGTAATCATCAGCCCGAGAGGTGGGGCCGTATCAGAGGTCAACTTGGTGGTAATCATCAGCCCGAGAGGTGGGGCCGTATCAGAGGTCAACTTGGTGGTAATCATCAGCCCGAGAGGTGGGGCCGTATCAGAGGTCAACTTGGTGGTAATCATCAGCCCGAGAGGTGGGGCCGTATCAGAGGTCAACTTGGTGGTAATCATCAGCCCGAGAGGTGGGGCCGTATCAGAGGTCAACTTGGTGGTAATCATCAGCCCGAGAGGTGGTAATCATCAGCCCGAGAGGTGGTAATCATCAGCCCGAGAGGTGGGGCCGTATCATGGAGGTCAGACACAGAAAGCTAAACATTTAAAAAGCTTTCTCTGAAAATTGATATAAGCCTTAGCTGATCAGCTAATGAGACCATGCACAGAACTTTAAGTGCAAATCGGGATTCAAATGTCAACTTTGGTTAAAGCTTTTAAATTAAAATTTTAAGTTTCAAACAACAATATCTTCAGAACCGTCAGAACCGTTTAAAAGATGTTAAAATGTCTTGTGTTCTAGTTACCAAATGGTCTTCAGTTACCGATATGTCAGTTGCATGTAACAAAAGAAACAGGTGAGCGATACAGGCCCTCTGGGCCTCTTGTTACAATAAAATAATGAAAAGAAACATTGCTAATCAACCCTACAGATATTGTATTTATCATAAAATATCTTAAACACGTTACACAAATTGTTTTTTTATTGAAATTGTATGATTAAAGTAATTATATACAAGCTAAAAGCAAACAGGACACATAGTTTAATACAAAAAGAGTGATAAATTGAACCAAATATACACAAAGCCTTGATAATTCACTTATTTTACATTTTAAAATCATTTTTGATCCTGATGAGAGTTGTCTACCTTGAAAAAGGGATATAATTTATACAATGACAGTTATTTTCTTTACTTTACCAAAAACAACGGAAACAAATTAATTTATGATATTAAAACTGTCAATTTACTGTTCTTTTATAGATCAAAATTACTCTCAATCACGTACACTTTGGACATCATTCCATAGCCCGCTTACGCCTGGAATAGGGAAATTTATGTCTTTGTATCATACGCTTTATTTCCAAGTAAGTCTCGATATCGGGTGTTGACATATCATCGTCACTCACGCGTACTATTGTTTACCCGGTGCAGAGACGTATATGCTTTATACGTCTCTGCCCGGTGTTACTATAATTTACTCTACGATAATGGAATGCCCGATACGCAATACGGAAATGACGACACGAAAATACGACAAGAAAAGCATGTGTATTACGAAGGGTGGGAAGTCCTTAAGGTCTAATATATTTATATTTTACACTTAATATTATAAAGATTTTTTTTTGCTTTAAGCCAGACATTTTACTTCTGACCACTTGAATATGACTATTTTTTCCGTCAGAACTAAAAAGATCTCTCTCCAGTGATGATATTTGGCCAGTAACATGCTGGGATGAATAACTTTGACTTATATTCAAGGTCACAGGGATCAAATATGTTTAAAACCTTTAAACAACTTCTTCTGAATAACCAAGAGGCCTATGGTGATGATATTTGGCCAGTAACATGCTAGGATGAACGATTACTAAATGTGTTCAAATGAATGACCTTGACATATATTCAAGGTCACAGGGGTCAAATATGTTTAAAACCTTTGAATTACTTCTTAATCAAAAGGCCAAGGGTGATGATATTTTGCCAATAACATGTTGGGATGAAGGGCTATCAAGTTTGTTCAAATGAATGACCTTCGCCCATATTCAAGGTCACAGTGGTCAATATATGTTGAAATCTTTAAATGATTTGTTCCATATAACCAAAAGTTCCATGGTAATTATATTTTGCTAGAAGCATGCTGAGTGGGAAGACTAAAAGCTCTGTTCAACCTAACGTCCTTGCATTGTTCGACATTCAAGGTCACATAATGTTTCATAGTGACCATGAATATAGATAAAATGCATGATCAAAGACGGAAATATTAATGCTTGACAGAAAATTGGGGTAGGAACCATTGTAGACTTGAACTAAATAGCTGTTAGGTATATCCCCATATAGGACCTACTGCAGTATCGTAATTATAAGCCTGAATGTGGTCAGCACAAGGTAATTACGGACTCAAAGTCTGATCTAGTTTGTTTTGTTGAACCTACTTGTCCAAATTTTGTACCAGGAAATTTTACCTAGGTTTTCATCTTTCAATAATTCAAGCAAGTTGAAATTATTTTTAATGGATTTGCATTTTTTTCTGTCATTTTTTTTTTTTTTTTTTAATGAAATAGACACATTTTATTCAATAAAGTTTTCCTTTCTAGTTTTAGAGTTAAAATATAACTTTTGGACAAGATAATGAATTGTCCGATCAATATATAGACCAAAAACTGAAGTCTGTGTACTTTGGTTTTTGGTCTATACCTCAAAAGATCAGTTAATTGTCATAACCTTTAAATTTAAAGGATTTTAATTCAAATTGGTCTAGAGGACCTTGTTAGCTTCTGGTCAAGGACATTGGTCTAGAGGACCTTGTTAGCTTCTGGTCAAGGACATTGGTCTAGAGGACCTTGTTAGCTTCTGGTCAAGGACATTGGTCTAGAGGACCTTGTTAGCTTCTGGTCAAGGACATTGGTCTAGAGGACCTTGTTAGCTTCTGGTCAAGGACATTGGTCTAGAGGACCTTGTTAGCTTCTGGTCAAGGACATTGGTCTAGAGGACCTTGTTAGCTTCTGGTCAAGGACATTGGTCTAGAGGACCTTGTTAGCTTCTGGTCAAGGAAATTCACCATTGTGTAAAGGAGGGAGGGATTCAATTTCAATGTTGGATAAACAGAGGGTGTGGCTATTTTGGGAGCAGAAGCATATATAGGGCCTAGTAGGGAAAATACAGGAAGATCTTTAAAACTACTGATTGGGTAGGAGTAAAGGAATTTTAACATCTAGATCTTTTGGTTTGGAGTTAGGTTCGACCATGCATGGGAACATCAATAACATATATAAACAAGGGGCATTAACTCCCTAAAGGTTGAGGGGCAGGGGTAGATCCCAGTAAGCAAGGGAATATAGCTAAATCATATTTCTTGATTATGGATGAATTTATATTAACTTGGACCAAGCGGATCCTTCTAATATTAGAGTATCTTTGAGGGGAAAAAGAATTTATATCAACAGGTTTGATAATAATCTTAGGAAAATAATTATGTTAAATAGTTTTTAGCTCACCTGGCCTGAAGGGAAACCTTTAAATGAAACAAGAGGCCTAGGATAATGATATTTGGTCAGTAATTTGCTGGGCTACCAAGTTTGTTCAAATGAATGACCTTAGCCCATATTCAAGGTCACAGTGGTCAATATATGTTTAAATCTTTAAATGATTTGGTCTGTATAACCCAAAAGTCCAGGGTAATGATATTTTGCCAAAAGCATACTGGGTTGGATGACTATAAACTCTGTTCAACCTAATGTCCTTGTTCGACATTCAAGGTCACGGTCGTCATATATATATGTTTAAATCTGTTAATAGGTTCTTATGAATCAAACACTGATATTCTACCTGTAGCTGTATTTTAGTCCACTTTTAAGATTACAAGTGTGAGATTATTACCAGGTGAGTGATTCAGGCTCATTGGGCCTCTTGTTATTAGTAAAACATTGGTCGAACCCGATCAGCCGGATTGGAATGAAGTTGGTCTATTTGTAAGGTTGAATCATATTTGTGAGCTATCACAAAGCCTTATCGCCCTAAGATGTAATATTAGACAAACAGTCAGATTTCAATGATTCTGTGCCGCGTTTGTAGCACGATGTTTTCTCTATGATCAAACATCAAGATATTTATCAGTACTATTGAAACATAATGTGGCGTGTTCAAGACAGGTTTGGTACAAACACTGTTTTATCTTGTGAAAATAACTTTGCTATATTATAGGTGTTTATTATTATTTTTTTACGGAATTTCAGACTCCTGTGGTGCGATGCAGCACAGTGCACTCGCCAAAAACATTTCAAATTTTACATGTGGTCAGGTGATAATATGTTTAAAACAGAGAAAATATTTTGGAAAACAGTGGATTGAATTGTCGGCACTCCCATTGCGGTATTATGCTCCCTTCGCTGGCCGATTGACACTCCCATTGCGGTATTATGCTCCCTTCGCTGGGATGATGACCGATTAGTATCATGATATCATTGTATGATGATGATT